ACAAAGGATCCTGTTACTCCAAAAAGCTCCACAAAATCCCAGCTTCCTTAGTGTGTCCTTTTTATTTGTGCAGGAAGGGAGAAACTTGAGTAAATCCTTGGTTCTCAAAGTCAGAAAACCCCAGAATGGTGTGGGTTGGAAGGGACCTTGAACATCACCCAGTGCCACCCCTGCCATGGGCAGGGCCACCTTCCACCGTCCCAGGGTGCTCCAAGCCCTGTGCAGGCTGGCCTTGGACACTCCCAGGCATGGGGCAGCCACAGGAAAAGCCTGTCCGTGTCCCTGAGCTCTGCTGGATCCCAGCTGGGCACTGGGATGCTGTTCCCCCTTTATTTTGGATGAAGAGATGCACCTTGGCCAGTGGGGAACCAGCTCTGGCTGCTCTGCCCCCCTCTTGCTGTTCCCAGCTACATTGGCCAACTCACAGTTTTGGGACAGAAATTCCAGATGAATCCAATACTATGGGACCTTTAGGACAGGAAGGGAAAATCATAACCAAAGGAGGGGAAGGCAGGGATGGATTTAGGGTAAGAGAACAGTGGGATTGCTGATCTTGCATTGCATATCCTGGGTGTCACAGTGTGGTGCAGACGCACTGAGCTGCTCAGGGCAGCTCAACAGCTCCTCAAGGCATGCACACAGGGTGGAAACCTGCCCTTGGAGACTGGGAAATCCACAGGATCCATCTCTCAAGTAATGTGCAGCAAACAGGATTTACAGCCAGGGTTTGATGTCAGAGCTCAGCCCTGGTGGATGCTGCTCCATGTCTGAGGGCTGGGACAGGGGTCTGCAGAGCAGAGCAGAGCTCTGTGGCTAAAGGTCAGGCTGAACTATGCTCTATCTATGCCTGTTAATTATAGAGGACTGTAATCTGCCACTGCAGTCACAATTCAGCAGGATCTTGATTGTGCAGAGAGTTAATGAAGTGAGGGAGGACTGGAGACACAAAGTCTCAGCAGCTGGCTGGGGGACACACAGATTTCAAAGGGAAAAGCTTTTTTGTTTTGTTTTGTTTACTCTGAGAAGGAAAAACTTTAGCCTGGAGGCCCCAAAACTGTAGAACCCTGTAGCTAAGCCCAGACAAGTCCTCATGCATTTTGGCACATAGGGGAATAATAAAAAAAAAAAATCTGGATACTACTCAATGCTGTGATTACAGTGAGGTTTCCTGGATATCCAAGAGGGGATCACAGCTGATCTGGGAAGATGTGAGAGCAGCATTACAGAGGTGCTTTCTGCCCAGCTGAACCTCTTATCTTGAAATTGTTCAGCTCTCTGAAGTGGCTTAACCTCTCTTCATTTAACTCTGCCTGTAACACGAGGGAATTACAGTGAGGTTTCCTGGATATCCAAGAGGGGATCACAGCTGATCTGGGAAGATGTGAGAGCAGCATTACAGAGGTGCTTTCTGCCCAGCTGAACCTCTTATCTTGAAATTTTTCAGCTGCAAATCCTGCAGCAGACAGCTTTCCTTTTCCACATTTTTTTTCTTTTTCCTCCTTTTCCTTTCCTCATACTCCACACCCCATAGCATACCATAACTCATCTGACAATTAATATTAATTATTTACATTGCCTTGGAGCTAATGTTACCAAAGCATCACATTATCATAGCCTGAAGGATTTATTTACACTTAATCTATTGTCCCTCCACTCCTCATTATTTTCCCTGTTGTCTCCATCAGTCACTAATTCCTTCTCAAAACTGCTTTAACAGAGGGGAAACAAATGGAAATTCATGTTTCCCTCGGTGCATCCCCCTCCTTGCTGGTGTCTGTGTGTTCAGCTTGTTTGCAGGTAAGTTATTCCTCCCAGCTCTCCTCCAGACTGACCTTTCCAGTGCCAAGTGAACTAAAGCTCCCCATGAATCGCTAATTTGATGAGCAGAGGCCCAGCCTGTGTTGTCACACGGTCGAATATTCGTCGTTTCAAATCGCCAGTGCCCTTTACATCAAATTATTTCCACACCCAAATGCGAGCTGAGAGTGGGGCTGTGACCCGCGACAGTGACACGGTGACAAGTCGGGGCAGGGGGAGCCAGGAGGGTCCTGGCCTCGGGAATGCCAACAGGTAGTGATTAATGCAGGGCACATTCCTGTGAGCATCTCCAGGTCTCACGTTCTCCGCCTGAAAAATGCCTGTTGAGTGTTTCCAAAGCCCTCCCGGGGAGCGAGGCACCCCTGGCAGGATCTGGGAGATCCTTGTTGCTTCATTCCTTGGACATTCCCCCGGCCACAGGTGGCCCTGCACACACCTCCAAGCACAGAGGTGCTCCAGCTGCAGGATTTGCTCTCTTCAGCTTTTGGGTAATGCCTGGCTTGCTTTTCCTGCAGAGGCTCAGAGCCAAACCAAGCACCCAGCACGTGCCAGCCTCTGGCTGTAGGACAGAGAAAAAAGGGTGCTGTGCTGGGTGCCCCTTGCCCAAGGAGGTAGAAATAAGGAATAAAAAGAGGATTTAGCTGTTCTTATGCTGTGGCTACTGCAGGAGAGCCCTGAACTGGCACACAGTGGAGTGAATGGTTTGGAAGGAAAAGCTTCTTGGAGTTGAAGAAAAATGAAGTATGTACAGGAAGGAAAATAAGGGGGATAAAAATGAAGGGGGAAAGCATAAAAAAGGATCAGCAAAAGATAAAAAGGTAAAAACAGCCCCAAAAGCAGTGAGACACCTCCACACCCCCATCCCTCCATTTCTCTTCCCCTGAAAGTGGTGAAGAACAAAGCTAGGATGGATGGATGGATGGATGGATGGATGGATGGATGGATGGATGGATGGATGGATGGATGGATGGATGGAGACCCATGGCCCATGGGAATCAGGGTTGTGGCCCCCTTTGAAGCAGCCACACAACCTGGGTACAATTTCCATTTCCTGCAGGGAAGCTCGGCCTTGTTCTCCTGAGGTGGATAAAGCAAGGCTTGTAAAACTGATTGTGGGAGGTGTTTTGACATGAGGAATTAAAATTCCAGGCCTGGCCTCTCCCTGCACATCCCAGTGAAAAAGGGGCACTTCCCATTACCTGCCCTCTGCCTGGAGAGTCTTTTTTTTTTTTTTTTTTCCCCAAGAGAATTTTGAAACAGAGGTGAAATTGTGCTGGTGTTCTCCAGCAGTAGCTGTAATTCAGTAGCATTCCTACGTGGATGCTGTTAATAAAATATTTGGGGCTCTTTTGTGATAAATTATTTATCAACTTCAAGCCCATAAAATCAGAATGGTAAAAGGCAATAATTCCTTTTGGGGGGAGGAGGACAAACTCTGATAATATCTACTTCATTCATGCTAATGAATGACCAAGATATAATTGGCTCCACATTCTCTGCTAGCAAATATTGTTACTCAGATAAAAGTACTACCACTTTAAAGAAAAGCCTTGTGGGATTACCAAACCCCTATTTAGTAGTCTTTAGTTCCCTTCAACTGATATTTTTTTTCATTTTAATGGGAAAAGTACCTTCAAAGACTAAAGATGTCTACATGGCTTTAATGGTGGCCTTCCACACAGGAGTCTTCTGTTTGAATTTTAATGTTTTTAGCCAATGTTCTGTGTGGAGCACATATGTCCTTAATGAGAGAGTTGATGCAGTTCATTAGTTTGTATTTGAGGGATGAAACATTGCTGAGTGTAGCTGTTAAACGGTAATTGATAATGGCTGAGTAGGGAAAATTTAGTATTTGGCTATTTAAAAGTTACACACAGGCTACTCCCTGACTGCTCCCAAGGACAGGGAATGCCCACGATGAGGAAAATGTGAGGTGAGGCACAAGTGTAGACAAAATTCAAATTTCAGAGCAACTTGAGGCGAGTCTTTGGGCAGAGGGGTAAGAGGTGAAAGGTGCTTTCTAAGTGTGAAGCACAGCAGCTGATGAGAGCCCTCTGTGCACATTGTTCATGATCCCAGCCCTTCTCCAGGTTTATCTGTACTGGCATTACCAGAGTTAGACCTGCATGGCTCAGTGATGCTGCCAGGGCACCGTGCCAGGCTCCAGTTTGGGAGCCACAGAGCTTGTACCCCTGGAACTTCTGGCTCATTTATCCCCAGAGCTGGTGAAAATATAGTCTGGATCACTGGGAATAATCAGCATCCTCTGCTCCAGAACAGCCCCAAATCTGTGCTTCCAAACCCCATTTTTCAGCGGGATTGCATGGCTCTTGTGCCTGCTGGCCTACAGACACATCTCAGGACACTTCTGCCAACAGTTTCATGCACAAGGAACATGGAGCCAAGCTGCAGAATTCAGTATCAACATCCAAACTGTGCAATTTGGGAAGAATTTTAGTAAATTAAAGCTAAAAACTGCACAATAAAAGTCTGTGAGGATCTTCAGGATTGGATTTTTTTTTTCTGCTGTTCCTCAGCAACATGTGGGCATTACATGTGTTCTGGTGGTACACTAAGGGGTAGATAATCTGTATTTGGTTATTCTCCCAGTCAGTCAGCAATAATAATTTGAATGAGAGAGATTTTAAAAAATGCATCTGGCAACTCTGTGGGTGTGTTTTGTTGTTTGTTTTCTTTCTTTTTTTTCTTTTTTTTTCTTTTAAAACCCCCACAATATAAAATAAGAAACAACTCTGAAATAATTATGAAACCAATAAATAACCCCTGAGCTCTAACGTACACAGATGACTTTCCAGAGGCGGCAGGCAGGCTTGTGTGTGGAGTAAAAAAAAAAAAGGGAAAACTCCTGGAGCAGGGATGGGAGGGGGGACTCCGGAGCCCCCCGGGGCTGGGACCCTGCGCAGGGGCTCAGGATTAAATTTGGTCCTTGCCAAAACAACAACAAAAAAATACGAAATAGCCGACACAAACCTATTTGAATAAGGGAGGAAAAAAATTAAAGAGGAAAGAAAAAACCCCAACTCCTCTATTTTTTTTTTTTCCCCTAAGCAGCCGAGCCCAGCTCATCAGCAGCTGAGGCAGGAGCAGGAGGGGTTTTGGAGTTAACTGCATGCAGGAAATCTCTCACATCCTGAGTCCCAGCTCGCTCCTCTCGGTAACTGTATATTATGGGGCTGCTCTCCAGCCCCAGCTGATGAAAGTTTGTCTCCCTCAGTCCGGGCTGCGATGTCAAAGCGCCTCCAGGCAGCGCAGCCGCGCTCCCCCCGCGCGCTGCCCGCGGCCCGGCTGCCCGCGCTGCTGCTGCTGCTGCTGCTCGGCCCGGGCTGCCTGCTCCCGGCATCGCCCCGAGCCCGCGGTAAGTCACACACAGCCCCCGGGCTTCTCCCGAGCAGGATCCCGCTCCATTTTAGCCGGGCGAGGAGCGGGGAGATGGATTCAGAGCGCCGCTTCCCCCGCCCCGCCGCGGGGATGGGGCGGGAGGTCCCGGCCGGGCACACGCGGAGCTGCCGCTCCTCGGCGGAGATTCCCCCGCAGAACTCCGCTGTGCGGGCCCCTAGCACCCCCAGACCCCGGGGTGCCATCCCCCGGCACCCCCAGACCTGCTGCTCCCTCCTCTGCACCCCTAAACCTGCTGCTCCTTTTTCTGCACCCCCAGTCCCGCCGGGTGCCATCCCATGGCACCCCCAGACCTGCTGATCTCTTCTCTGCACCTCCATCCCCTGGCACCCCTAAACCTGCTGCTCCTTCTCTGCACCTCCATCCCCTGGTACCCCTAAACCTGCTGCTCCCTCCTTTGCACCCCCATCCCCTGGCACCCCCAAACCTGCTGCTCCTTCTCTGCACCCCCAAACCCGCTGTTTCCTCCTCTGCACCCCCAGACCCCGGCACCCCCAAACCTGCTGATCTCTTCTCTGCACCCCCAAACCTGCTGCTTCCTTCTCTGCATCTCCATCCCCTGGCACCCCCAAAACTGCTGCTCCCTCCTTTGCACCCCCAAACCTGCTGCTCCTTTCTCTGCATCCTTCAACCCGCTGTTCCCTCCTCTGCACCCCAAACCTCCTGTTCCCTCCTCTGCACCCCCAAACCTGCTGCTCCCTCCTCTGCACCCCCAGCCCCGCCGGTCCCATGCCGGGGACCCCCCTGTTGTGTTCATTCGGGGGTGCCCTGCAGGGTCCCGGCGAGAGAAGAGGATGTTGGAAATTCTCCTGCCACGCATCCCCCTCCAAACAGCCCCCGGGGCTGAATTCAAAGGTCTGGGAGTCTTGTCAGAGTTTGGGCTCTGTTTCCAGCTGGGGAAAATTGCACGGAAAAGCCAAATAGCGATGGTAAAAGCGTCCTGGCCGGGTAAAAGTTTTCTCGCCGCCGCTGTGCTCATTCAAAGTGAGCTCCAGGCGGATTCAGCTGTGCTGTCCGTGTTGTGTGGATGGGGAACAGCCTAGCAGGGGATTGTCTCTCCCTACAGCAAGTTTGGGGTTTATTCTGCAATCCTCAGAGCGCCCAGGTCCTCTCGTCTTCGCTAAGCAGCAGCTGACTGCATATTTTATGTGGACAGGAAAAGAAACTCTTTTCTATGAATACAAGAGGAAAAGAGATTCTCCTCTCTGAATACATTTAACAGCACCGAGGGGTGCCTGTGTCCCTGTTACTACAAACTCGTGTGTTTGGTGGTTTTTTGTCTTTTTTTTCCTCCCCCATTGTAACTTGAAGCTTTGTAAATGTTTGCTTATCTTCAAATGTATTGACAGCGACTTTCACTGGGACTTTGGCTCTGAACTTCCTAAGATAAAAGATGGGGAGATACTTTAGCACATGGAAATCCCAGAGGGGCAAAGGACAAGGTGTTGCCTTTGATCAAGCACCTGGAATTTATCTAATTGGATTAACAGGAGTTGAAGCTCTGCCTTTGGGAGGGTTCTTGATTTCTCTTTGCCAACACTTGTATTTGCACCAAATCAGAGGGTTTGGGGTAAAGGTGCAGAAATTCCCTGGCAGATGAAGGGAAATAGGTGTCCTGTGTCTGTTCCCTTTTTGTGGGGAAAGGGAGGGTTGGTTTGGGTGGGAGGATGGCTCCCTTCTCTGAGTGTGGAACCCACTGGCTGGCCAGCCCCTCCATGGTTTGCCAGTTCACTTGCAGTTGGGAAAATAAGAGGTAAAATGCTTCAAAGTCTTTGTCCCTACAATACCAAGTGGGCAGACTGTGGGTGACTTGGCTGTGGGACACAGAGGAGTGAGCAGAATGGGAAGAGGGGGTGGAAATCCGGTTCCTTGTGGCTCAGAATTCCCCCAGAGCCAAGCTGAAGCTCTAAGGTTACGCTCGCACTGATGATTTAAGCTCTGTGTAAAGCTTGGGCCAGCTGCTATCTCTATGGTGTCTCTAGGTGTCTTTATGGGTTTTAGATGTCTGCATTTGGGCAGCTGTGGTGGTTGCTGGCCCTTGGATTTTCCTCCCTGTATTTTCCTGCTCCTTTCTGTCCCATGTCTGTAATTTGCTCTTTTCCACCCAGAATATTCAGTGAGCATCCCCTGCCTTAATTCCACTTTTTCCTGTGGAAGCAGAGCACAGCTTCAGCCCTGCCAGAGCTTGTGCTGCTTTCTTGGGCACGGAGGTGCTGAAAGTTCCAGGCACTCCTTTCCACACTCCCAGTGACACCGAGTGCTCTTGGCTGGGCTGGCACGGCTCTCACTGGGCATTCTGGAGCCCTGCAGGACACCCCAGTGCTGCCAGCACATCTTGATTTTTACATTAACTCGTGCTTAGCGATTAAGACAAGTTGGAGTTATGATATGCCTTGAGAACTGGGTTTGAAATGTGGCAATGATGTGTGTCTGCCTGAGTGACAGGTCTGTTATTAAACAGAAATTATCAGGTTGTGGCCTAGACAACTTCAAAGTAGCCTTGCTGCTGGCTTTTAGTATGTTTTCTTTCCATTTTTTTGTGGTTTTACAATTGCCCTCTTAGTTTTCAGACTTGTGCTGGGTTTCTGCTTGAAGGAACTCATGGACAAAAAGGAAAACTCAACCAGGCCAAATGAACTTTGTTGTCCTTGTGGAGTGTGATATAAAGTAGGATAAGATCTCATCTTCCAGTCTCAGTCAAACACCTTAAAATCTACACCTGTACAAGGTTTTTGTGCTCATGGCCATCCTGTTTCTGCAGGGCAGACCAAGTGATGCTGTGGATAGGTGAAGTCCAAATTAGAGAGTGTGTATGTGTCCACAAACTATTAAATTTAAGTATTGTGTGTTTAAATATTGTATGTTAGCTGGGAAAACAGCAGAAAAAAATGACTCTTGGAATGACAGAGTGGTTTGGGTTGGAAGGGACCTTAAAAACCATTTTAAGGTTTAAAAACCATTTTAAAGACCTTTTTAAGTGTCTTTAAGTGTCCATGGGCAGGACACTCTCCACCACTCCAGGTGGCTCCAAGTCCTGTCCAAGCTGGCCTGGGACACTGTCAGGGATGGAAGAGCCACAGTTTCTCTGGGCATGAAAAATGCAAATCCTAAAACTGCAACCCAAAATCCTTTACCTTCAGTTAAAATCACTTTTGTCTAGATTTTAATTTGCTGCTGATTGCAGCTTCCTTGGGTCTAATGGAAATAAATTGCAGCAGAAGAAATGTTGCTTTGTCTTGTGCTCTAAACCTGATTTCTCCATCACCCTCTGTGCTTCAGAGCTCATTTATAAACCCTGTTTCCCCTCAAACTGCTGCAGCATTTGTGGCAGATATTTCTGGTGTGTGTATAATCACCTCCTTGTCTGATGATTATCCCCTTCAGACAGCCTGGCATGAGCTGTCCCTGCCCATGGGGCTCCAGAGATCCGTGCCAAATCCCCCAGCAGAGGAATTTTACTGCCACTCTTCAGCAGTGTTTGCATCCTTCACCCCCAGCTGCCTGGGGAGCTGACAGGTTCTTCTCTGCTGGTTCCTTGGGGGCCTCATCTCTTGATCTGCTTGGGATTTTGGAAAGGTCCTGATCCAGATCCAAAGAGCATCCTTGAACACGTGGTTGTCAGGCTGTGTTGTGGGGGGTTTTGCATCCTGCTGGGAGCCCCAGTGGGTTTTCTCTGGTGGCACATGGGTGGCTGCAGCAGACCAGGGTGTGTTTATCTCTTTATCCCACTGAAGATATCTATTTATCTGTTATTCCCACCAAGACCCTCACTCACCGCCCATGATCATGAAATTCTGTTCTAAAAAGGCTCAACTCATGTCAAGGTTTATTTTCTCCTCCACCAGCCGTCTCCATACCTCACATCTCCTGACACATTTATTATCCCTGCTGCTTCCAGCAGATCTGACACTGCCAGGGCAAGCTGGCCAAGGAGTCCAGCTGGGCTCTGGATTTTTTGTGTTCCTGAGCCTTCTTTTGGGCTGTGGCAGAGAGGAGGGTGAGCCCTGAGCTGCCTTGCTGGGCTCCTGGGGTGGGTTTCTCTTCGCTTGTGCTGTGAGAGCTGCTGTAATCCAGGAATGGATATTCTCACGGTGTTTGGAAATCTGGAATACTGTCAGGTTGTCCAGCCAGGCCCTGCCACGCCAGCAGGCTGTCCCCAGCTCTGCCTCACACCATCCCATCCTGCTTAGGATGCCAGGCTGTCCATATTGCGGGGATTTTTTCATTTAATCCCTTTTTCTGGTGACTTTCCTTCCTCTACAACCTCTTATGTTATACTGCACATCACCCTGGATCTTGCTCTCCCCACTGCCTGCACTTGGTACTTGTATTTCAAGCAGTTCCTCAAATTTCTGCCTGGACAAAAGCACATCATCTGCTCAGTTCTGGAGTGCTGCATCCCTAAATCACATCTGCAGAGGCTTCTCTTAGGTCCTGCTGAGGCTCCAGGGCAGATCTATGATGAAGTAAATTAAAACCCCACAGTTTGTTGAATCCTTACAGGGCAGTGCAGTCCAAGAGCTCAATCCCTTTTGTTTCTGGTTAACACAGAGCAAACTGCTTCAAATGTATTAAATTTTTATCTTTTTGCTACCTGACTAACTAAGAGAAGGGATTTTCTCTTTCTGCTCCAGCATGTTGACCCTTCTCTTTTTAGGGTTCATGCAGGATTTTGAGACTAGGTTGGTATCAAGTGGCTTGAACTGCATAATCTAATCAGAAATTAATCTGTTTAATCCCTTCAGGTTGTTCCACTAATACTTTACACCCCATACAAATGACTATGCTGCTTTCCATGACCTGGAGCTAGGATAAGAAAGAGTTTGGAGGCAGGAAATTGTCCTTTCACAAGGTCAGCTTGCTAAAAGCAGTGATTAGAAGAACAAATTCTTTCTTGTCCCAAATCTATGATGTAATAAGGCAAGAAGTGAAATGTGTCATGGCCTGTTAGCCATGCTG